ATTAATATTTTTGAATCATTTTCATTTCCTAAAAATGTACAGGGTGGCCAAAAATTAGTATTCAATTAAGAACTTTTTAAATTGAATTTTCTCAATTTTTTCAAATGGAACACCCATTATATTTTTCAACGATGTGATGTAAAAATGAAAAACGAACATTTTTTGTAAGTACTTCCCTATGGCTAATTGCAACCATTTTCGTTTTATTGAGCAATAATTACAACATTCAAAAATAAACTTAAAAAAAAGAGGTTTTTTTCAAATAACTCAGTGGAAAAAATTATAATAAATGTTCCACATGTTGTCCATTTTGATTGACACACATCTCTATGCGCTTTTGAAATGAGGTTCCCACTGTTTCTAAAACTGCCGGTGTGATAGATCTAAAGGCAGTTATTATTCTTTCCTTCATATTTTGTACTGTTGTTGGTGTGTCTCAATAAACAATTTCCTTCACGTATCCCCAGAAAAAGAAATCCATTTTTGTAAGATCTAGGGATCTAGCAGGCCATTTAGTGGGTGCATTTCTTCCAATCCATTGATGAGGGTAGGTATTATTTAAGTGGTCTCTAACTGCATTTAAATAATGTGGTGGAGCACCATCTTGCTGAAACCACATCCTACTTCGAATTCTTCCAGGGAGATTTACCAATAATTGTGGCAGATAGTTTTCCAAAAAATGAAGATAAATAGCTCCAGTCAATTTACCATCAAAGAAATGTTGCCCTATTACATGTTCTCCAATAATTCCTCCCCAAACGTTTATAGACCATCTGTGTTGGTTATCAACTTGCATAAAAAAGTGAGGATTTTCCGAAGCATAATAATGGAAATTGTGCCTATTAACAAATCCATTTTTATGAAAAGTTGCCTCATCAGTGAATAAAACATTATTGAAGAAGTCGACATCAACTTGCATTTTACCTCTGGCCCAATTACAAAATTATAGGCGCTTTTGAAAATCGTCATCAGATAATTCCTGGTGCATTTGAATATGATATGCATGCAACTTATTTGTTTTTAAGATTCGACCCACAGACCGTCTACTTATTCCTACTAATGAGGTCACTTCTCTTTGACTAACATGGGGATTCTCAGTTGCCAGCACCACAGAAAACTCATTTTCTTCGTTTACAACACGTTTTATTCTTTCACTTTTTTTATATTCGACATTTCCAGTTTCCAGAAATCTATCGAGAAGATTTTGGAAGCTGCTAACATCAGGAAGCCTTCTTTCAGGATAACGTTGGTGATAAATTCTATTGGCAAGTAAACAATTTCTGTCTGACTCGCCCAAAACAAAAGTCATGTCTACAAGTTCCGTTTTATTAAAATTCATATTGTAAAATTCCAAATATTTTAAATTCAATACAAATTGTAACTAACGACCGATAAGTGTGATAAATGCTCCTTTGTACACGACAATTTATACTAAAACTAAAAAATCGTATTTCCTATAAAAAAAAATACATAATTAGTATTGCCTCTAGCTTTCGAAAAAAGACAACAACAGCTTGACAGAACTTAGACATTTATAAATATTTCGTTCACGATAGCTATTTTTTTGAGTTAAAGAGTTATAAGTTTTTTTTTTGTCATTTTTACTAATTGCTGAATTCTAAACTGCTTGAAATTCAACGCATTTTTTTCTCAAAAGAATTGTTATGAAACCTACCTTAGTTTTACCTCATTATAAGTAAAAAATGAGCTCTTTCGAATTCAGTAAGAAAAAATTGGGGTTGGTATTTAAAAAATATATCGATGACCTCCTAGCTTCAGAAAGAAGATCTGAAAATTCTTAAAACTATGTCAAAAGTTGGCATTTAAAATAATCTCTTGATTATTATCCGAGAGATTTTTTGAAAAAAAAGTTTGTAACAATTTCACCGAATTTATACAGTACTTTTCGAAACCACTGTATATTAAACCCATATGGTATTTAAATGAATCATTTGTTCTCGTTTTTCGATATTACTAATAGAAAAGTTTTAACAATGATTTATAGATTTAAATTGGATATCTGGTAAAAATGCAGCCTTAATTTCGCATTGTTTACGTACCTACATGTTATTCACAGAGGTTTTATAAATACTACATATTTAGAGCGTATTCCAATGACTTCGAGCTCATTGATGTATTCATTTTCAAAATGGGGCAGTGGGCGTCAATAGGCGATTCGTCTGTTACTATCTATAAAAAGCTATTGGACAATCGACAATAACGAGCCCCATCGGTAATTTTTTTTTATAGCTGCAAGTCCTCCAATTACCTGATAAAACCTTTAATTTTTGTTCCCATTTTAAGAAAACAGATTTATTGCATAGTATATAAGAGTGTTTTATCATTTCATATTGTTTGGGAATGTTTTATTAGGTGTTTACAATATCTATATAAAAGTCGTATCTGGAATTTATCACTCCCGATCTCTAGTCATTACTATTACTACTTTTTTATGAAGTAACTATACCGTCTTCAACACGATTTTTTCTGATGGCCCATGGTGAGGGAGGGGCTAATTACACTCAGTGTCCCTCCTTGGATTCGCACTTCGCTGTTATCGTTAGCAGTTTAAGATCAATAACTATTTTTAGCTGTACTATACATATAAAGTGATAATAGCAATAATATTTAATTCTGAATTTTGCGTTAGGTTATATAGAGACGTCATATTAAATTAGATCTCAATGAATTTTGTGGTAAATCTTTCATTTATTATTTATTAGTATTAGTACGGGCATTTCTCGATTCTTAATTTTTGCAGTTTCTTTAATTTGACTTACACCGTCACTAGTTTTGATTATAATGGTCGAGCTTATATTAATGTTAATTTTTAAATATGAATATGCAAATACATTTTCGTCGTCTACATAGCTCAACGAGTTGTACCTTATAAATTTAAATTACGTTTTAAAAACTTTATGTGACTTGAATACAAATAATTAAATATTTCGTCTCTCTAATGCTGTGGCTTTTCTTTGATTTATTCTATTTTCGTGTCTCCGATCCTAATATGATATTCTGTTAGAAAGATAAATGAGTTGTTTTGATGTTTTCTAGAATATAAGAAGAGACTCGACAATAATTTTAATACATTTTTCCAAATTGACTTTGTACCTATATGAAATATTTATAGAAGCAAACTTGTGTGTATGTATGCCACAAACCACTCACGGATATCCCACCGCGTTGGATCATACGCCAACCCTAGAGCTAGATTCACATTTGCTTTTGCGGGGAAAGCCCCTCTCTACACCACGTGTTTGGAGAAGTAGGGATGGTATGAAGCTGGTGTAGTTGAGCTTATTTTAATTTCTGAACATTCTTTATTAGTCTAATTTTGTGTTTTTTTTCTTTGTATTGATTCGTTAACTTTCCTCGGATTCTTTCATGTCCTCGATTCTCATTTTTTTTACGGTTTATGTTTGTAATCCATGTTAATCTTCAGATGTTCGACAATGATGATCAGTTGAACGGAGGTCCTGTTGTGTATGAGTCGCCTTTATGTATTAAATATAATTATGTCGTATTTTACAAAAACGTTTATGCCTTGCACCTTATAATTGTAAGCATATACAGATGAAACCACGAGGAGCCGAACACGGTCATTAGTATAAATAAATAAGTAAACAAAACAGAAATTAGAGATAGTATGCGCAATTTACTTTTGTCCATTGAATATTGGCCGACGGTGTATTACACACTCGAGAATTACTGAACCACTTGACTACAATAACGTGCAAAACCAGCTAGACAGTGCTGCCGTTTTAGTACAATTGTACTAAATTTTCTCATTTTCGATATCATACATAGTACATAAGTGTATTTTAGGTCAAAATTCCAATTTAGTACATTTGACGATTTTCCACATTTTGGTAAACAATCTATAAAAATGTTTTAATGTCTACGATTTTTCTTCATGTATATGTGGAAACCTACATGAGTCTTGCAAGAATTCGTATAACTACGCTTTTGACCGGTAGGTGGCTCAATTATGACGAGCTGTCCGCCCGCGACTGCGGATCTCCCTCCGCTGCTAACGGTGCCAACGGTAAAAAGTAAATTACTCATACTAATGACCGTTTTCTCCTCTTCGTGGTTTTTATCTGTAGACAAGTTTTTTGACTTACAATGTGACAGTATATCGATCTAGAGTCTTGTATGTAACGCAAAGCTAATGTTGACACATATTGGTCACTGGAGAAAACATTAAAAATGTATGTACAGAACTAGAGAGAGTATGGTTGCTTTAAAATTTGAGCTCCTCAGGCTGTAGATATTAAGCACTAAATATAGAAAATTGATCCTTTGTAACTTATATTTTATTAAATATAAGTCAAGGTCACCAACTGTGTTCATATAAAAAATAGACATGGAAAGTCGATCTTAAAAGTTCAATCCCAAAATTCAGTTTAAATTTTTTGCGAATAGTATGGGTAGAGTATTCATAGAAATAATAAATATTTTTTTCTTGACTCTAAATCAGATAGACCTGAATGTTTCTTTAATAGAATTAGCGGAAGTATAAATAATAAATTCTTCCTCGTTATATCCGGCAAACAAAAACTTATTACAAACACCCTCTTTCGAAGTTCCTTAAAAAGTTTTAAACCTATTTTCAAAGGGTTCACTAACTTTTTTTACAAACAACTAAGAAAAACAAAATGGTATATTTCTGTTCTGATTCTTTTATTAAAACGTGTTGGTAAAAATAATATCACAAAAATATAAATAATAGACAAATATTGAATGTTATAACGATCTACAATTTAAAAAACATTTCGTGTATTTTTTTGGTTTGTTATAAATATTTAGAAAATCAAACATAGTAAGAAATTTAAAACGGTTTAGGACTTTGCTGTTCTAAAGATTATAATATATATTTTTTGTTGTTAATTCTTGTTGTAATTAAAATTTGATACCTGACATTCTAACAATAAAAATACCTATTTATTTTTATTGTTAGGTGAAAAATTTTAATTATAACAAACATTAATAACTGTGGCTCCTTGGTCGAGCGGTAAGAACACTTGCTCATTCTGGAGTCCCGGGTTCGATTCCCGGCCGAGGAGATATGGTTTTTTCTAAACCAGAAATTAATCCCAGCATATAAGTCCTAAAGCCAATTTAAATATCATACCATGTTGGATTTTTAAATATTTGTAATAAACTAAACCAGATAAATGTCTACCTCCAACTTTGCGAAATTTTAACTTTATTATTCTAATGGTGGATAAATTATTGATCGGTTAACTCTACTGGAAAATCATTACCAATTGCAACAAATAACCCCGTAAGGGCTTCTTAGCTAAAAATGTGTGGATATTTTTGCTTATTGCAACAGAACAGTTATTAATGCTGACAGTAGTGATAGTTTAGTTTTTTGTTTTCAAAGTGATAAAGTTAGTCTAGTTTAGTTTAGATTTTTTATAAGTGGTTAATATTCTCAAAGTTGTAAAATCTGGAAAAAAAATGTGCATAATCACAGTCACGAATATTGAGCTATTTATTTTATCATACAGATAAAGTTGTACGTCATCCCAAATATTTATAAAATAGAGATAAACAATGTTATAAAATCTGGCGCCCAACGTGGGGCCGTCAGATTTTTATCAGATTGATTATTATCTTTATTTTATAAAAATGTAGGATGGCGTACAAATCTCTCTATTATGATAAAACAATTCAATATTGTACATTTATTTATTGTTTTCAGATAATAAAATGTTAGGGTCTGTAATAATTAGGCATTTTTTTATTATTTTTTTTGAGTACGAGCTTTATGTCAATTTTTGCTTTAGCACAAAAATAATGAAAATGTGTCGCCGATTCGATAGCCAGAGTGACAAACGTAGCTGGCTTACTGCCTATCGAATCCCGGGTTCAAATCCCAGTTTCGATTCTGACACAGTTGAAGAGATTGATTGTGTAAGTCTGTGTTTTTTTTCAACTGGAAATCCCTGCCCGTGCAGCTTCGGCATTGGTTTGGAAGTTGTCTAATTTATGTGGTGTGTTTTTTTAATGTTTTTTTTATGATTTATTTCAACAAAATACACAAAAACATGTGACGGTATCTAAATTTCAAAAATCATCTCGTACTGGATCCCTGGTACCGATATATCGTCATCAACATGATATCGGCCCATTTCTATTTTCAACTTCTTTTTTTTTTTAGCATTGCTAGTTGTATTTCTGTTTTATTCTTGGAATTGTTTTTAATTATTCCACGATATAAAACATATTTTTTTTCGTTACTGATTTATTGGTACTTAATGTTTTAAATCTTTAAGATGGTATTTTCTAAATGTTATAATTCCTTTCACTTTTCGTTGAATATGATTATTCTCTTATACAGTTTGTCGTAAAGTAAGTAAATTAATTAATATGTTCTTTTCACAAAGGCTTGTTGAAGAACAATATGTTAGTTTTCTTGCTGTAAAACTCAAAAAATCTCTTCAACAATTTTGAAAAGTAATATTTACTTTTGTTTTCTAATGTTGTTAGTTGATATACGTATACTGTGTATTAAGTATTTTTGGTTTATATAAATTATTGATCGAATATATGAACGTCGTAAGTAGAAGCAAAATTCATGTACATTATAAAACACCTACAGAAATACTTTGTTAAACTTTGCGATCAAAATTTAAACACAAACATAATTATTTTCCACGTGTTCTAATTTATGTGTACTAAAAAGATATAATTTGTTGCCTATTTCTTGTATGTCGCTGAGAGAAATTGAAAAAAAGTTGATGTTCATATTTAAAATTGACGTTTCCATATACTTAATACATATCTAAATTTAGAACTTTTTATGTATTTATAAAATCCATTCAACAGAAATAAAAATCATCAAATACACACGAACGTAAACAACTTATTTATATTACTCGGAAGCCTAAAATTGTATAGGTTGGGCAAATTTCGGTGTTTGTATAGGGTAACTGTAAGTGATACAAAAAAATAGAAGACACATTCTCTACCTCTTTTTTGAGACAAATTCACTGGCAATCATCTTTTGTTTTCGAATTATAAACAAAAGGTCGATTTTTCAACTTTTAGACACATGTCAATATCTTGGTTGTTTGAAATGTAAGTTATGAAAAAACAACTTTTACATTCTTCAAGCACTATTTTTGTATAATACAGCGATTATGAGAAAATTATAAAAAACGTGCAATTTCGAGTTGTGGCATAAAATTGTATTCTTTTAAATTGGGAATCATAATTGGCTACAGTTTAGTTAAAAAGGAAATTTTTTTCTCTTTCAAACTCTGTGTCATATGTGGGGTCGCTTTTGATGTGTAAGTATTTAATAGCAAAAACAATCTTTTAGTAAATTACCTTTTGCGTTATTTACATATATTTCAAGTAGGAGTGTGTAATCTATGACAATGTTTATCCGTTTGTCAATAAATTGTATATTAACAATTTTATGTCCGTCATAATTACACCCCATTTAATCGTAAAAGTGAAGATGTCTTATGAAAATTACGAGAAATATGATATGCTAGAATGCTTTATTCAAAGTAATAACAATTGTGATATTGCATCCGAAATATGTATCAATCGCTATCCAGAAAGAAGACAACCTAATAAAGCTATTTTTAAGAGGTTAAAAGAAAATCTCATTAATTGTGATATTTATATCTAATTTTATAATATATTACAATTACAAAATAAAAATTCGAATTAAAGTAAATGTTCAAACTGATGTCCGTTATGTTCGATACATAAATTACATCTCTTTATAACACTTTGAACTGCATTATAAATATGAAGATTTGAAATGGAATTCACAAAGTCTATAAAATTTTGTCTGAGTTCATTTATGTCGGTACTGGTTTTCTTGTATAATTTATCTTGAATGTGGCCCCAAGAGAAAAAATCCTGTGGCGTTAAGTCAGGTGACCGTGGTGACCACCTCACTGGTCGGTTACTTCCCAAAATTGGTATTTAATAATTCTGAGACGGTCCTGATATTATGGGGTGATGCACTATATTGTTGGAAGAACTGTTTTCTTGCCTTAATTAAGGATAGATTGTCCATAAATTCCTCAATAATTTTCTGTTTTAGGATTTCGTAGTACTGTTGGCCATTCAGATTTTCTTGATATATGTGATCTGTTAAAACACGATTGCCACGTAGAGCACACCAAACACTAAAACCAAAGCGTCCCTGAGATCGCACGTCAACGGTACGATGAGGGTTCATATCGGACCAATTCCTGCACTGCTAATGTAAGCTTCATCTGTCCAAACTATATTTCTAGAGAAGAATGGATCTTGTTGACTTTTTTGACGATACCATATGCAAAACTCCAATCGTCGCTGACGATCAGTTGATTGCAGGTGACGTTGTTTCTTTATTGTAAAAGGCCTGAATATGTGTGTCTTCAAAACACCCACTTACATTTATAGATGTTTCTTCAGCATTTTCAATATTGATATTTTTTGGTCTTGGCTTGTTGAAGGACCCACAATTAACTTTCTCTTAACCTCTTAAAAATAGCTTTATTAGGTTGTCTTCATTCTGGATAGCGATTGAAACATATTTTGGATGCAATATCACAATAATTGTTATTACTTTGAATAAAACATTCTAGAATATCATATTTCTTGTAATTTTCGTAAGACATCTTCACTTTTACGATTAAATAGGGTGTAATTATGACAGAAACAAAATTGTTAATATACAATTTACCGACAAACGCATAAACATTGTCATAGATGACACACGCCTACTTGGAATAAATATAAAAAAAATGCAAAAAGTAATCTACTAAAAGATTATTTTCGCTATTAAATACTTACACATCAAAAGCGACCCCATATATGGTATATAGTTTGAAAGAGAAAAAAATTTCCTTTTTAACTAAACCACAGCCAACTATGTATTTAAAAAAATTCAACTTTATGCCATTACTCGAAATTTTACCTTTTTTTTAATTTTCTCGACGCCACTATATTATACAGAAAAAAGTGCCTGAAGAATGTAAAAGTTGTTTTTTACAAACAACCAAGATATTGACATGTATCTAAAAGTCGAAAAATCGAACTTTTGTTTATAACTCGAGAACAAAAGACGATAGCAAATTTTTGTTTTCGTCGGTGAATTTGTCTAAAAAAAAAAAAAAAAAGAAATCGAGAATGTGTCTTCCATTTTTTTTGTATCTCTTGCAGTTACCGAGTTACCCTATACAAACATCGAAATTTGCCCACCCTGTACTTCTGATTACTGATACATTATTAATATTTTGTTCTATTTTTAATTTACCTTGCCATCGTTTTCGTGACTTGACAAATGATATTCTTCAACTCCTTACTTACTTATTTAGGACTACGACAATGCCAAATGCCATCGAACACAAATGCGACTGCTATTTAGTGTTTTTTCCAAACACTGCTGCATTCTTGCGGCAAATCTACTAGGACATTGATCCCTGTTAGTTTACTGCCTTGCTGTTACGTCGAGAGATGCTCTTCAGTGCTCTTGCTTCGAGTGTCAGGACTGGATTAAGTGCAAAACGAATGTTAGAAATTTTATAATCGTGGAAGAAGTTCAATAGATTCCATCGATCCATACCATACATATTTTTATGGTTTATTTAGTAAGAAATTGAATAAAAATATATTTGAATTTTTTTGTACGTTGAAATTGTGGAATGTCTCCAAGATTTAAAAAGACAAATTATAGACCCTTCTAATATTATTATGAAAATTAAATATATAATTTTAGTTCATCTAACCAATCTTATTAATGTGTGCGTAAGAAGTAACAAGTTTTCAGTTGTTCTGATCATATCCAGGCAGAGGAAACTGGATCAGTGTCCAAGGCCAGCAGCTTGCTATCGCCTTAGCATACATGGCAACAACGAATATTTGTTTTGCATTCGCGGCTATATATTTGAGTGATCTGGTCTGTACAAGGAAAATGAACGTTCCACATCTACTGAGGTTAGTGGTGCCAATTTTAAATAGTTCACATTGGCAGGCAGTAGTGATAGGAATAATCGACATACGATAATTGAATCAGTCGATTATTTAAGTATTTCGAGATAATCGATTATGA